GAGCGGCAAGTTTTGTTTTTCAGATGGGTTTTGGACTGGGATTTGGTATAAATAGGAATGTTGTTTCCTAGGGTTTACAATCATACTCCCTTTAAAAGTACGAGTTCGGAAAAATCTTTTTATGGTCAGTATTATCCTCAACTTTTTTTAAATATTATATTGTTATCCTAATCTATTCTAATTATCTTATCTTCTTTGAATTAGTAACTAAATGATTTATCATATTTAAAATGAGATTTAACATGTTATTGGATTAAGAAAATACGTTTGATATAATTTAAATCATTTACTTATTTTAGTTCACAGATAAATCTAAAAAACATATGCTAGTCAGCATCTAAAAATTTTTGGACTCTGTAAAAAAAATCCTCCAAGTTTTTTAAATTGCAAAAACAACCCCTATAAATTTAAAATTTTATTAAAACATCTTAAAAATTATAAATTTTATTTATTTTAATTTAGTGAGAAATCTAAAATATATATGCTAGTTAGAAACTAAAAGTTTTTTGACTTTAGAGAAAATCTTGTAAGTTTTAAAAATTATAAAAACACCCCTAAAATTCAAAATTTATAAAAAAATACTTTCAAAATTTTAAACTTACAAACACACTAAAAACCTACAAATAACACAAAAAACCCCTAAAATTTATAGAATTTACAATAAACACTCTAAACTTTTTACAAATTACAAAATAAAACCCTCAGAATTGTAAATTTATGAAAATTCTGATAATATCTAACCTAATAGTACATTAAAAATATAAGAATTACAAATATCCCCTACATAATTTATAATTTAAAGAAAAACAACCTTGAAGTTTTAAAAATTACAAGCAAAACCTTAAAATTCAAAATTTATAAATAACACCCTAAGAATTTCAAACTCATTATTAAATTGAAAGCATAAGATTATAAATAGTCTATAAATAATTTACAATCTGTAGAAAAGACTTATATGTTTAAAAAATTAAAAAAAAAACCCCTAAATTTTATAATTTATAAAAAATTACCATGAGAATTTCTAACCTATGAACACAAAAATAAATATACAAAATTACTAACAACCCCTAAAAAACTAAAATTTTACAAAAAATATCATACTCACTTTAAAAATATAGATTTAGGAAAAATCTTTCATGGCCAAAATTACCTGTAACTTTTTTGAAAAGAACATAAATAATTGAAAATCTATTAAAATTTTAATTTACAAAAAAACACCCTTAAAGTTTAGCACATTGCAAATGACCTCTCTAAAGTTTGAAAATTTTCAATGATTTTTTGTAATTTCTTGATTTAAATGTAATGTTTAATAGTCTTGTGTATTTATAAATTACAAAATTTTAGGGTGTGTTTTTATAATTTTTAAATTTTTTAGGGTGTTTCTTTTATAGTTTTCTAAATTTTTATTATTTTTTTCAGTGTAATGCATAAATACGTTAATTAATGATGATATTGAAGAGTAAATTGTTCTTAAGATTATTAGGCTATAATTAAGTACACAACACATCACTGTTTCTAGGTAGTGTAATTTATATATGCAAAAATTACATATAAAAATTCCTTTACGAATTGAATGGTCACCCATCTTATGAAGATTTCAAGATACTAATAAATAGAGATGTTGTACTAGATTAATGTGTTTATAACTCACAAATAATAAACCAGTCTGGATTGAAGGAAACAATGATGATAAGATTATTAAACCATAGTTAAGTGTGCATATCACTATTCCTCGGCAATATAGTTTATATATGTAAAAAATTTCAGATAATTTATATAGCGGTTAAAATGTTTTTGATTTAATATACTATTTTCTTATAAATTATATTTAATGTGAACCCACCATATAATTTTGATTGTGGTCATTATAAATTTAATACGTTTAATTGATTGACTATAAACGTATATAGACCATAGAGTACTTTACATTCTCACATGAGTTAATATTTGTAATTTAAATTATTACTTTTAAATTTAATATAAAGAGGAGCTCCAATAACATTTATTTATTTACCTACAACATAATACAATCTCAATTTTTATTTTTGTTGGAGATTTATTTCATAGTTAAGCGTATCAAATTAGTAACTAAATAATAATTATTTATGCTTAAATTAGGATGATTATAGTTGGTCACTCACTATAAAGTTTTTATGAAGATATATACATTATTTTTTATAACTATCTACATTGTCCGTGTATAATTTACAAATTACTTCTTTATTTGACATATTAAATTACTTTCTCTTTGTAGAAATTTCTTCTTTGACTTTTAGATTTTGTAATTACTATATCACCATTTTAGCATAGAAATGACCTCACTCTAAATGGCTTTAAGCCAATGTTTGAGTTAAACTGAAGTACATATTTTTTAAGAAAATTATATCAACACTTTTTAAGTAGAAGAGAATATTCTAAGAAAAATGCTACTATGTGTATATATTTTTTAAGAATGGACCTCACTATACTATTGCTACTATGTGTATATACTTTTTAAGAAAATTATATCAACACTTTTTAAGTAGAAGAGAATATTCTAACCTCTGATATTATAAAAACTAAATATAGCCAATTTAACGATTAGCAAAAGAGAACTTACATAAAAAAAATGTGAATAATAAGATAAAAAGTAAAGGTAATGACATTGCCAATAATACTACAAATAGCAAACTACAATGTAAAGTTAACATATTTTGTGGAGCTCAACTACTGACTATAAGCATTGAGGTTTCCATATATATACTTTATAATTTATTAAAAAATATTATATATAGTAATATCACTGTAATAATATCGTTATTAGGAAAAATTCTTCATGAATCAATATGTTCGTTACGATATATAAGCTATGCACTCCAAATTCTTGTATCTTTTATAGAGTCAAAAAGTTTGAATACGAGTCTCTAACATGTTTCTCTCACAACAACAAAATTCACTTAGCAGATGTGAATATTTCAGATGAGTTATGTGTCCTATATACAATACAATTGCCCAAGGCAAGTGAATTATAATAGCATTTTTTATTCACATCGTTTAGAATAAGATTTGATAGGGACCTTGTATCAAAGAAAAAAATATATATTTAGAGCACATAGCGAAATATATCATAATCTTCCTATTCTAATTTTGTAAGAAAATAATTCATCATACTTTTAGTTTTACTTCTATGATACAGAGAATGAGCTATAAAATTAAATGAGAATATTAGATAATATAAATATGAGTGAAACAATAACTAAAAATTAATGTGAATATAAGTCAAACCATAACTAAAAATTTAATGGATATATTGCAAGTAAATTCATATGTAATTTTTTTTACGAATTGAATGACCACCTATCTTTTGAAGACTTCAAGATACTAATAAATAGAGGTGTTGTATTAGATTAATGTATTTATAACTCACAAATAGTAGATCATGTGACCACAATCTGGGTTGAAAAAAACAATAACAATATTTTATTTAAGAGTGACCACAATCTGGGTTGAAGAAAACAATGACAATAATTTATTTAAGAGAGAGATTATTGAGTTGATGATCAATCCCACAAAAAAACTTTAATTTTTTTATTTTTACTCTATTGTTATTAATTTAAATAATTATGATATTCAACCACGTGCATTGCACGTGCATCTCAACTAGTAGATAAAAATAAGGGAGAGTTTTAACATAGATTTTATAGATCTGAAAAGGAGAGA